CCGAGCAGTTGCCATCCAAACACATTGCTTTAATTTAAAAATTACATAATTAATAGTAGCAGTGGGTGGGGTGAGCTAAGACGTGTGTAAAGTTTAAATTTAAGAGGAGATTTCCTTACGTAAGTTGAAAATGTGGATGAAATCGGATGCATTCGATCTAGTCTCAAGATGGAGCTCATCATCCCACTCCTTTTGGTACCTTAACCACAAAGGGTGAAAATTTCAAATAATTATATTTCTCATAACAGCAAAACAATACAGCGATTTTTTCCACCATAGATCTACCAACCATAGATGTAATCTAAATATGGGACTTTTTCTGAGTAAGGTCCAATTTTCTCAAACTTAGCACATCCTTATATTTTTGCCTACATTAGGGTTAAAAAATGGAATATATTCGTCACCTACTTCTGGTACCTCATCCAGATAACTTCAAAAAATTAGTAAAAAAAAAACAAAAGTTTAAAAGTGTCAGTCGATTTTGTCGACAGATGTATACCAGCCTCAGCCAATGTCGGTTTACCTACATATAAATTGACGTGCCTTATGATCATTGAAGTTTTTATACCCTCCACCATACTATGGAGGGTATATTAATTTTGTCAACCCGTTTGTAACTCCTCGAAATACTCATGTCAGACCCAACAAAGTATATATATTCTTGATCAGCGTAAAATTCTAAGACGATTTAGCCATTTCCGTCTGTCCGTCTGTCTGTCTGTCTGTTGTAATCACGCTATCTTTCGAACAAATTGAGATAGAAGGCTAAAATTTTGCACACATGTATATTTTCCCAGTAGGCAGGTTAAGTTCGTAAATGGGCCATGTAGGTCCAAGTTATCATATAGCCCCCATATAACGGTACCTCCCGATATTCGGTATTTTGATGATTTTAGCGCATTATTCACCGGAATTATTTCAAATTTGGCATTTGAAGTTCGTAATGGATACTACAGCCTGAATCAAAAAATGAGCCATATAGGTCCACGTCTTCATATAGACCCCATATAACGGTACCCCCGATATTCGGTATTTTGATGATTTTAGCGACATTGTTTACCGGAATCGTTTCAAATTTGGTATTTGAAGTTCGTAATGGATACTACATCCAAAGTCAAAAATTGAGCCATGTAGGTCCACGTCTTCATATAGCCCCCATATAACGGTATCCCCCGATATTCGGTATTTTGATGATTTTAGCGACATTATTTACAGGGATTGTTTCAAATTTCGCATGTGAAGTTCGTAATGGATACTTCAGCCCATGCCAGAAAATTGTCTGTGCAGGTCCACGTCTTCGTATATCCCCGATATAACGGTACCCCCCATATTCGGTATTTTGATGATTTTAAACAGATTTTTCTTCAAGTTTCGCATTTAAATATTGTAATAATTTATGACAAAAGTTGCCTATGCAGGCCCACGTCGTCGTATAAACATTCGGTATTTTTAAGATTTTAACAGAATTTTTAACTGGTTTTATTTTTTGGAAATTGCCAAATTTGTACCAAATGGTGGAGGGTATTAAAAGTTCGGCCCGGCCGAACTTACATCTTTTTTACTTGTTTAACATAAGCACAGAAAGAGATAGGACAATTCGATTTTACTCCAACTTTGCATATCCTAATATTTGCGTCAGTGCTAGGTCAGGTGTGAAAATGGAAAATATCGGTCCACTCCATCAAGTACTTCCCCCACAATGGGAAATGTGGTCCGCCAACGTCAGTGCTACGCAGTGGAAAAATATTCAGTCCTGCCAGAATGCCGCCCTTAGAACTGCAACAGGATGCCTTCTTATGACACATGTCGAACACCAGCATGAGGAGGCGAAGGTCTTACCGGTGCGACAGCATAACAAAATGCTGTCAATGCAATACCTGCTTGGGTGTTATAGACAAAGCCATCCGAACCACCATCTTGTGGATAGGCAACCTCCGCCCAGGCACGTTAGGTAAGACCTTCATGATCTAGAAGGAGAGGTGCAGCGGTATAAGATCAACAGGCCATCAAGCGGGATTGAATAGTATTCACTCTAGTGGGGTCTCAGAAGCCATTGAAGGATATAGAGTGAATACTGTGCTAGGACACCTACCCCCTCCCGTCGCAGCTGGAGAACGAGAGCTGCCCCGACAAACCGGAGTAGTTTTGGCTAAATTCCTACTGGGCCCGGATTAACAGCGATGTGCAGGACATCTGCCCAGCTTGTGGCACAGGCCCACATGACACGGTACACCTGTTTCGCTGCCTACTCACCTAACTCCAGTCTCGTTATGGACACAACCCATACAGGTTGCATCCTTTTTGAGACTGGACTTAGAGGCAGAACCCAATTGAATGGAGTCAGAAAATGGAAACCGAACGAACAAACATGTATGAGCTGCTACAACAACAACAACAATGGGTCAAAATTTTGAATAATTCTAACTCTTTTAAAAACTGCGATGTAAGAGTCCGATTTTCTTCAAATTTCACACATCTCAATAATTTTATTGGGCCAAGGTCTGGTGTTAAGATGTAGTAAATCGGTCTACCGATTTACTACCTCCCCCACAAAAGGTCAACATTTTGAATATTCGTGAAGCTCATAAAGCACGAAATTAATATCCGATTTCTTTCTGACTCGGCACATCTCAATATTTCCATCAACGCAATTTCTGTTATAAAGATGGTAAAGATCGGATCATTTCTTCTGCTACCACCCCTACTTAGGGTTGAAGATTTTGATAAACAAAACGCTCAAAGAAAGCGAAATAAGAATCCAAATGTCTTCAAATTTCACACACACACACACACACAAACAAACATTTTCACTAATACAAGATCTGTTGTAAAGATGATATATATCTGCGAACCCCTTCTGGTACCGCACCCACAAGGGGTCACAATTTTCAATAAATTTTCACAATTTTCTGTCATAAATTGCGAAACAAATCAGCTATTCTTTACAACTTGCTATATCTAAATATATGTCCCTCAACCAGAAACCTGAGATGAATATGGAATTAAAGATTCCACATAAAATTGGATATAAATTTTTGATTTCGGACGACTATATATGGTACCTCATTTTCTAAAAATTATCACATATGTCATGTAAAGTTAGGGAAGTTGCCAATATAGTCCAAATCTGGCACGTCGCCATATGTATATCACATTTATTCATGTCCGATGCGAAATGGACAATATTGGCCCATTCCTTCGAAACCCACCCCATGGAGGATCAACAATTTGAATAATCGTAACAGAAGTCAAAACATATTTCAATCATCGAACATTGACTAAGGTTATACAACTGTAGACAAAACCAACTGATGTTTTTTTTTAACTTGATTGTTTTTATTTTTCTTTAATTTCGACCTTTGGTGTGGAGTTGCGGAGTTAACTTGTTTTTTTGTTTTTTTTGACAAAATTTCGGCCAACTTTGGGGGAGATGCTTGGACTGACGCTTCAAACGCGGTATGTCATTAAGCGATGTGACATCTCTGTCAAAAGTTATGGCGTTGCCAGATGGGTCCGTCGAATATGGGCAACCCTATATAGGAAATATACAAAATGTGTGTGTAGAAAGGAAAGGGATGTTAGCTAGAATGCTTATATCTCAAGAATGGCTGGACCGATTTTGACAAATTTTTAATTAATTCAGAATGCCCTCTTGGGTAAAATCTGAAAAAATAGCATAAAAAGATGACGATAAGTCTGTTAATATAGATTTTGTAGTATTTTGTGACATATTTTCATTTCTTCATATTTTTTATCGCATGCGATTTTTTCAATTTGACTTATAATATTAAAGTGTGTGTATATTCTGTAATACTTTTTTCAGCTTACAACACAGGTTGGGGATATTATATACAGATTGAAATTATCGGCCGATCCTCATGAAAATTTTCATGAGGGTAGATTTAGGCTCAGAAGTTTTCAAAGATGTCCGCATTACATTTAGCGGTTGAAATGGACCAAACACTAAAAATGTTCCTGATTTTGCAGCCATTATAAAGGTTACAAATAGAAACCAATGGAAACGAAATCTCGCATGAAGTTTTGAGTTAAGGACCGCGGGTAGAATGGACCACTATTTTTGTCTGAAAAAAATACTAACATTACTTACAGGCGATATCCGAAATACAGAAACGGCGAACTTCTGGCTTTTTTATGCTGATTTCGTTGACGAATATAGCCAAATATCGTAGACAAGCAAATCATATAGATGAGTCTGAATTTGGAGATACAGAGGGGCTTCTCGTTGTTGGAGATGATCGCAAAATATTTAGGGTTTCAAATGAACCAACAACAGGAAAAATTTCATGATCACGCAATTGAAGCCAATCGACACGCCTGAGAAGAGAGTTAAGTACAGGGAAGAATTCTAACATTTTGGATGACCATTGGATTATATATTTATTTATATTATTATATATTTAGCTGTAAAATGGACCACAACAACTAAAAGCACAACGGAGTGCTTAAATATTGGGCAAATGTCTCTGGTCAAAATGCTAAGGGTAATATCTGAACAGTGCTCCGTGACGTAATTTCAAAAACGAAATCTTCCAAAATAGATTTGGACATAAGAGGGCTTCTGACATGTTGTAGTGTTGTAGGGTATCACGTGGTCGACCCACGCGTCTAAAGCCTTTGCTTACTTGTTATTCCATTTATTTTAAATCCAAATGAAAGGTCTTTCAACTTTTTTTTTAAATGACAACAAAAGGCGAATGCCTAAGGGGCTTTGTGGTTACCAGGAAACCTAATTCTTTGCATTGTCATTTAGTTTTTTTTTCTCTTTTTTTCAACTACTGGTCATATTTTCAAGTTCAGCTACTCAGGGTACTTTGGAAGTTTTGTCACATTGTAAACTTTTTCCGTGAACCGCTGCCAGTGACGTGAGATATGACCAAAACCATTTTAATTCGGAGAATTATCTTTAAATTCAAACTTTGTAAAATGTGAATTTGTTGACACACACACACAGACACACACTCACTCACAATTGTACTTACCTCAATATAAGTTATTATTCTCATTATACAACTTGGCAGATTTAGACAAACAAATACTGTGGACACGATGAGCAACATTTTTGTAACCTTCAGCTGGGAGGAGTTGGTGGCATTACGTCTTCCTGCAAATGTTAACAGAAATACCAAAGTTTGGTTATTTAATCAAATAAAACCAAAAGGCCTAGGGCAATGGATGGATGGGGAGTGGGGTGGTTTTCAAACAAATATTGTTCCACATTAATTATAAAATTCCGGACACGTCAACACTTAATTAAATAACCTGTCATTCGTTATTTAACCACAAGGACTTCATTATATAATAATTATGATGTATTCTACTAGTAGCACTAAACTGCATTATCTCAATGGGGATAACGATCTCCGGTGACCGATTGTTCTTTGTTCGGAAACCACTTAATTGATTACGTGAAATGTCCGTCCTAAGGAAATAAAGTACTTTCATGGTGGGAAAATATATGTGATAAGGTCAGGCTTAAATTTTATAAATTATGTTCGTACTATTTGCCTTTTAAAATTTAATGTTTAATTTGAGGAATATTGTGTTTCAAAATGTTGACCCTTAAATGGGTGGATCCGGAAGAGTAGGTCAATAATACACGAGGCTTGTACAAATGAATAATATTTTTTGTAAGACTTATGATTATAAAATCGGCGATACAAAAAAGACTACAGGGTTGCCCATATTCGACGGACCCATCTGGCAACGCCATAACTTTTGACAGAGATGTCATATCGCTTAATGACATACCGCGTTTGAAGCGTCAGTCCAAGCAGATTTTTACCATGAACCAATACAAGCCACGCGAGCGCTCTGAAATAGTTGAAATTTACATTCAACAGAAGGAGTCAATTGTGAAAACTCAACGTGATTTTAAAACATTAAAAATGTGAGAAGTGCTCCTTCTAAGAACACCATTAAGCGTTTATACGGACTGTTAAGGCTTTTTCTAATCCGAAGAGGCCATATATAAAAGTCAACCAAGGCGATCGGCCGAGAATATCGCTGCCGTACGAGCCAGTGTTGAGAGGTCCCCAAGAACATCCCAAAAACGCCGTTCTCAGCAGTTGGGCATGGTTCGGTCCACTTTACAATTGACGCAAAGAATGTTGCCTGCGGACAAGCCTCGTCGATTGGAATGGGCCCAAAGGTCCGTCGAATATGGGCAACCCTGTAAATATACAAAAAATCTGAAATTTGGTATGAGAGTTTCTGATAGAGTGCAGGATATACAGGGTGAGATCGAAAAACTGCAACCACTTGGCCACTCGTCCGATAGCTGTAAAAATTTTTACAGTGACAGCTCATTATATTGTTTACAGGCGTACAAAAGCATTTTTTTGAGAATTTTCCAGAAAAAAAAGTCATTCGTGATGGAATTCTAGTGTGGTAGTGTGATCTCTTTATATTTGCATGGAAACCCACAAGTGGCTATCGTTAGAGCACTCCAGAATTTTAATATGAATAAATCGTTTGTGTCTCGTATCGCTCGCTCGTTATCGTGATACTGGAATCAGCTATTTTTTACAAGCGTACAAAAGCATTTAGGTGAGAATTTTCCAGAGAAAAGTTATTCGTTGGATTTAAATGCGAATAAATCTTTTGTGTCTCGTACCATCGCTCGTTACCATGATACTGGTGGCGGTAGCGTTGGCCGACGTCAAGAAAGTGAACGGAAGAAAACAGCAACATCAGCAGAAATGGTGCGAAAAGTAAATAAGCGATTTGATCGAAACCCGCGTCGCAGTGGCCGAAAAATGGCTCGTGAGCTGAACATATTTCAATAGTCCATTCGGCAAATATTGAAAAATGGGCTCGGGGTAAGGCCATTGAAATTCCAAAAAGTGCAAGAACAACCGAAAGAAAATAGACTCAAAAAAGCTAGAGAGTTGCTTCGCTTGTCCGAAAGTGGTGAACTGCCGAATTTGGTTTTCTCCGATGGGAAAACATTCGTTGTCGAGCAGTTTGTAAACAAACAAAATTATCGTGTTTACTTGCCAAAGAGGTCAGCTGAAAATGTGCACCTTCGGTTGGCCAGCAGAACTCAAGCGCCGGCCATAACAGGCGATGGTTGCTTTCCGCTCGTATTAATCGGCCGTGGCATCGGAATAAATGCCCAATATTATCGCGAAAATATTCTGAAGGATGTATTAAAGCCTTGGCCACGCAAACATTTTGGCCGCAGACCCTGAACATTCCAACAGGACTCAGCACCATCGCACTCAGCACGTGCCACCACAAAATGAGATTCCTCGCTTCATTTCGAGAGCACAATGGCCACCAAAATCTCCGGATACCAATCCGCTGGACTATTGTGTCTGGAGTATTTTGGAAAGCAAGGTTGGCAATAAAAAATAAATACCAAAGTGTAGTACCTAATGGAGTGGACCGATATTATTCATTTTTGCATCTGACCTAGAACTGACGTAAATATCAGGAATGGAAAGTTGGAACAAAATCGGATTATGGATTATCTTTCTGTGCAGAATATATATATATTTTTGAAAATCTCGATCATTTGTGTGGGAGGTACCAGAAGGAGTGGACCGATATATTCCATCTTAACACCAGACCTTGGGTTACAGTAAATATTGGGATGTGTGAAATTTGAAGACAATCGGACTCTTACATCAATTTTATGAAAGTTTTAATTATTAAAAATGTTGACCCTTTGTGGGGAGGTACCAGAAGGAGTGAACCGATTTTGTCCATTTTCACAATTGACCTAGTACTGATGCAAATATTAAGATTTGCAAAGTTTGAGCAAAATCGGATTATCGTTTCTCTTTCTGTGCAAAAAATATATATTTTTTTCAAATTTCGACAATTTTTGGGGGAGGTACCAGAAGGAATGGACCGATATATTCCATCTTAACATCAGACCTTGGGTTAACATAAATATTGGCATGTGTGAAATTTGAAGACAATCGGACTCTTACATCATTTTTATGAGAGTTTTTATTATTAAAAATATTGACCATTTGTGGGGGAGGTACCAGAAGGAGTGGACCAATATATTCCATCTTAACATCAGACTTTGGGTTATCATAAATATTAGCATGTGTGAAATTTGAAGACAATCGGACTCTTATATCACATTTTATAAGAGTTGTAATTATTCAAAATTTTGACTATTTGTGAGGGAGGTACTTGATGGAGTGGACCGATATTGTCCATTCTCACACTTGACCTAGCACTGACGCAAATATTAAGATTTGCAAAGTTGGAGCAAAATCGGATTACCGTTTCTCTTTCTGTGCAAAAAATAAATTTTTTGAAAATATCGAACTTTTGTGGGGGAGGTACCAGAAGGAGTGAACCGATATTGCCCATATCCGAACTCGATCTAAGTTTGACAAAACCCTTCGAGACTTATCGTGCGCACCAACCAGACAGACAGACGCACGGACGGACATCGACTCCAAATGTTCCGAAACGGATTTAGTCCAAAGAGACCTAGGGTCTAAAACCGTTATTTCGACTAGGCATGTTTTGACCGTATCAAATGATATATGCCCTCTGTAGCCATATGGCTGAGGGTATAAAAATGCCTAACAGGAACCGTTGGAACTTGTCTAAAATTTGAAGGTGGACTTTGGCTGACGAAGTGGCGGTTCGTCATTAAATTCTACTCTTACCTAAACACAAAATTCAATTCATAAACATTAAAAACAAAATTTAACGTTAAAGTCGCACATAAAGAGAGGTTATGAAAAATACTCCCAAAAAAAAAAATAATTTTAGAAGGATGACGTCAAAGACAAAATTCAATGTTCGCTATAAGCCACAGCAGTGCATCAAAAAATTTTTGCTTTTACAAAATATTTTCAATTGTTTTTTTTTATGGAAATTTTTTTTTCGGCCCTTCTTCGAGTGCATGGTTTTAGAAGGCAGAAAGTAATAAAAAATATATTTTCTGTTCCATACCCTCAATAACAATGAATAAAAAAAAACAAATAAACTCATAGAATAGCTTTTAAAGTAATTGTAACGTAAAGGATTTGTCACATACGTAAATAACGTACACAAACAACAACCGCACACAACAACAATGGTGACAGGCCGAACATAACTTCAGACAGACAGCACGAACGAATTCTACAATACCAGGCGATAAGAGTATTCTTATCATAATATCCGACATCAGCCACAATCCAACAGTGTTGTGGTTAATGCGACATAGTGGAAGGGTGGTGTTGATAAACCGCTTTTATCCATAATTATGAGATTGGGATGCCTGTTTTTTATAAATATAACTACTTGAAGTGCAGGAAAATTAAAGAAAAAAAAAACAAGTTCAGAAGCAGTAAGTTCGGTCGGGCCGAGCTTTGAATACCCTCCACCATTTGGAACGAATTTGGAAATTTTCAAAAAATAAAATCCTTAAAAAATTCTGTTAAAATTTTAAAAATACCGAATATAGCCGTTATATTAGGGTCTATACAACGTAGGCCTACATTGGCATTGTTCGTCATAAGCCATTGCCATATACAAATTCGAAACTTGAAATAAACGGTGAATAATGTAGCTAAAATCATTAAAAAATCGTTTATAGGGAGGTACCGTTATATCGGAGCTGTGTGAAGACCTGGACCCGCATAGACAATTTTCTGTCACAGACTGTAGTTCCAATTACGAACTCTAAATATGTAATATGAAACAATTTCGGTGAATAATAACGCTAAAATCTTCAAAATACCAAATATCGGGAGGTACTGTTATATGGGGCCTTTACGAAGACCTGGACCTGCATAGACAATTTTCTGTCACAGACTGTAGTTCCATTACGAACTCTAAATACGTAATTTGAAACAATTCCGGTGAATAATGACGCTAAAATCATCAAAATACGGAATATCGGGAGGTACTGAGATATGGGGCCTTTACGAAGACCTGGACCTGCACAGACAATTTTCTGTCACAGACTGTAGTTCTCATAACGAACTCTAAATACGTAATTTGAAACAATTCCGGTGAATAATGACGCTAAAATCATCAAAATACCGAATATCGGGAGGTACTGAAATATGGGGCCTTTACGAAGACCTGGACCTGCACAGACAATTTTCTGTCACAGACTGTAGTTCTCATAACGAACTCTAA